GTTTTCTTTTTTTGTTGGTGCTCCAATTTCATAAAGGTACCATTATCTAACCAAAACAACCACAGAACCAAAATCCAAAGTTCTTGAAGTACAATTCAACTTGCACACCTAGAATGTAATCAACTATGAAAACAAAAAATAATTATTGGTTATTTTCTCTTACCTAATGAAGAATGAAGTTCGGGTTTCTAGGGGCTATTTATCAGAAAAGTTAGAAATTTCCTAACCGACGCCATATTGAAATTAAATAAACTAAACAATTGATAGTTATGCGACGTTATCTTTCAACAAATAATCTTTCTCACCAACTAATAAGCACTGGTAGGTCGCAGAGATCCTTTCGAACACAAAATGGCACAACTAGGTGTAGCGAAAAACCACAAATTGACAAATCCTCAACACAGCACGACGCCATTACGAAATAAAATTCCGCCCAACAACACAAGCGTAGCGCACAGGACGACCCGTTCCGTTCGACTGATTCTGCCCGTCTGCGCTGGCTGCGGCGCCGACCCGACGTGGTGGCGTGCCCTCCTGTCCTGACCGGTACAAGTACAAATGCCTGAGCACGCGCCTGCGCCATACACTTCGGCTTCACGAATATTCACGATGTTTGAAAGTTGAAAAGAGAGAAGACTTTTATCAATACATATTTTATTTTATTCCAAGTTGTAAGTCGAATGAAAAATTAAATATTGCTGTTGTTACAATACAAAATTAATATTAAGTTCCTTATTATCTATATACATTACAGGTATATTATGGAATTTGAAATTAGTTTGTGTGTGTGATAGAGACATTTTCAGAAATCACACAAAATTGGCAAATTTAATACTGGGTCCTACCGGTCTGAGGTCCTACCTAGTTTTGTAAAATAATGTTAGCCATTTTTTAGCTGTAATAAGTATCTAATTTTGAGAACAAAAAATCTTTTTGTCGATAGATATTTTCGAAAGGATGTTTCTAAAACATTTCAGGACAATCATCCTAGAGATGTTACATTACAAACATCGCAGCGATGTACCATTTATGTCGGAAACATAAGGACCTTAATGGTACATAAATAGGATGTTTCTGGGAGATCGGTGTTATTAGGGTTAGGTGGATGGGTCAGTTACATATTAACGTACAAGGACTAGAACGTAGTTTGCATATTATTGGTTAGTTCTGACACAGTTCGTTTATTACTGGTTATGAGTGTACTGGTTGACAACTAAATTATTTGAATTCAATAAATTTTAATATGTAATTATAAAATTGTATCCTCGATTGTATCATTAGTTTTTACTACTAGTTCATGAAAAATGTGAAATCTGGCAGCACTGCGAAAACAACAAGGGTTGTACACACCACTACACACTGAAAATCATCCGGCAACCTTGCCATCGGTTGGCTTTATTTCCATTATTATGAATACATAATTATTATTGCATAGAATTTAGGCACATTTGATATAAATATAATAAAATTATTTTGTTAAATCCCAATAATCCTCACTTTTTTGGAAAGAAAATGAAAAAACGAATCGAATAAAACCAAAATTTTTCAAAAAAAATCATTTTTGAGAACTTACCTTATCTCAACCAGACCCCAGGAGGTACCTCCTTCCTATTTATAATTGCAACATTATGGAGAACAGCTGTGGCTACTATGGTTGATAACGATGTTTGTAGCTTTAATCTCAACCCATAAGCCGTTGCAGGAAATCATCATCAAATAATTCCATATTTAAACACAGATTTAAAACTCGGATTGATCATTACGACAAATAATTGACATTTGCATTTGACAAAAAAAAAACAATTATTTCTACCTAAGAACGTGTTAAGGTCCCAACAGTGGTGCCTTAAAGATAGGAATTCCTAAATCCATCTTAGGTGAGTTTTCTGACTGGTGCAACCGAATTTTCCTTGCTTAACTTTCAGAATAACTTAAGAATGACTTAAGACGTTCTAAAACGAACTGTGCAATCCACCATTAAACACTATAGTTGTCGAATTATAATATACACTACTACTACAGGATAGCCTATCCTCATAAGGCCTGTGTGGAACAAATCTGAAGCCCCCCATCACGCCAAATCACCAATTGTGACGTAGCAGCATGTCCTTTCTCGCCTTGACGTAGACTGTTTGTAAGGAGAATACACACTAAAGGTACGGTTTGTTAGGATAGTATGCGACGCACAACTGACAACGTAAACGTCGTCATTGGTTCAGGTATGACGTACACCCATTCCCTGACGTCAGCGTCACCATCAGAAAACGGGTGTACGTCATACCTGAACCAATGACGACGTTTACGTTGTCAGTTGCATGGTACGCGCACTTGTATTGAACGATCCTGGCCACTTTTAATGTGCCCCAAGCCACTCAGGTGGCGCGCATGTTCCTTGCTGGTAATAGATTTTAGTGAACGGCCTTGAATATTGACGCTATCAGCTGTAATACTGGTCGGTCGGTTCTCAACCATTTTTTAGTTTGTCAAACTTTTTATGAATCATATTCATTAGTTGTAGTGTTTTTACTTCTACTCAGTTTTAGTTCAGGTAAGTTTTATCCTTATCATGGCGTCAATCTCATTGGTGATGAAATTGATGTGAAGACAAACAGAAAAAGTTCAATTATAATTTATATATGAACCTAAATAAAAATATTATAAGGCCAACGATTGACAGACACGAGTTTTATTTTCATATCTTATCCAAAAAACGTTTTTGGCGTTGACTAGATCAGTCTTGGTTATTACACATTATATTTATTTCTAATAATGAGGGATAAATATAATAAATAATGTTAAATCTGATCAAGGCCAAAAAAGATCATCCACAAAGAAAGTTTCAAATTCAAATATACCGCCAAAATAATTTTACTTTGACCCAAGCCTATAGAGGCGCCACATATACAAACTTTTTTCTTAACATGGGAGTTACTATTCTATATCCCCACTTAAACCTTAAGGTACCATCGTCACCAAAAGTATCTGGGACACAAATAATGCCTAATAATCTCCTGGACTAATTCTACTGTCATTCATTTCAATGCATTATATTCAGTTTGACAAATATTTGACAATAAAATTCATATAATAGGACAAGAGCTAATGTGATGCTGTCCCAGTTACTTTTGGTGACGATGGTACGGTTTGTTAGGAGAGTACGCGTCGCACAACTGACAACGTAAACGTCGTCATTGGTTCAGGTATGACCATAGGTATGACGTACACCTGTTTTCTCACGTCAGAAGACGGGTGTACGTCATACCTAAACCAATGGCGATGTTTACGTTGTCAGTTGTGCGTCGCGTACTATCCTAACAAACCGTACCTTTATTCTATGGTCAGTTGTGCGTCGCGTACTATCCTAACAAACCGTACCTTAAGCTCTAATGAGTGCTTATCGGCCTCGTTTTTGGTAATCGCCGCTATATTGCCATTGCCGACGTCATAACTAAGTCGTCAGCTGTTTAAACAGCCTACGTCAAGGCGAAAAACGCCATGCTGCTTACGTCACAACTGGTTGTTTGACGTGGGGGTATGATTCCGCGTGCTTTTGCTTTATGCATACTTGGTTTTACTACATTAATTAACATTCTAGACAATTCTTGTTTAGATCTCGTTTTCATCTTCCTCTTTGCCTATTATGTTAATCAAAATCAAACAAATATTTTTTTTGTATTTCAGTTACGAAATGTTATCTTTTTGACATTGATTTTAGTTGTCAAAACTGGTTCTAACACAAACGCCAAAATAGGCAGTGGGTTCTAGGTTCTAATACAGTGTTAAAATCAGATCTCATTCATTTCATCACTGGCCGACTTCGTTTTTGTCATCTTTTTCGTCGATTTGCTCCGAAAATTTGACAGGCACGTGATTTGTAAATTGAAACTGTTTTACCCAGTCACGTGCCTGTCAAAATTTCGGAACAAATCGACGAAAAAAATGGGGTTGATGCATATGGGAAAAACAGGTGTGACGTCAGTGACCAATGGCGTTTTAGCGTAGGGAGCCACGAGCTCGCATTCCTTTGAAGTATCAGATTAAAATTGACGGACTTCACGTACGTTTGCCAATTCGAGTCGACGTCATCATTAGCAGCTAAGAAAAGTGTTGACGTCACCCGCATACCTTGATGGAATGCTTGTGATTCAGGCTATTTTGTGAGTCAATTTTTTTGTCGATTTTAAATAGAGAAAAGGTGACTTTAACTAGATTTTGACGTTTAGGGATCCCTTGTTTCAGCTTGTAGTGTTTTAAACTCGGCTAATGCAGTTTTCGCCAAGAGTTGAGTTCTGCGGCTAAAATGGCAGATACTTTCAGCTCAGAGCAGTCCTATTAGGTTTATGTTCTTGCACTGTTGTTAGAAAAGATTTATTGAGACACTAGGCCTTTTCGATAACGCTGATCTGATTAACCAGATCACCACATGATATCCTTTTGTCTTGTTTCAATTCTATTCATTAGAAGGCAAACAGCTGGTGATCAGGTTAATCGGATCAGTTGTGTTTCCGAAAAGGCCTACTGTAAGAAAATATCTTTAAAATATTTCTGCAGAAATCATAAACCAGTCAGCGTGGTTGAATGAAATTCGCACTGACTGGTTTGCGACTTCTGCAGAAACAGACCTATACAGGGCCGAGTTCAGAAATAACGCACAAGGTGCGAGTGCGATTTTAATGGGTGTGCCTGAATTGACAATTGGCCATTGGGCCCATAGCACCGTCTAGTATTTTTGAACAGCTAGAGCGTCGCACCGGTGTCACGTTCACAAAACTTTCAACTAAACAAACCAGTGAGAAATCAGCAACTTGCTCTTGCTCAACCTGTAAAAATAGTCACTGTAAAAATATTGACATCGGTAGCGCCATCTATCGACAAAAAGTATCAAAATTTTCAATTCAAAGCATAATCGATGTCGTTATTTTAAGGTGTCATCTGTTTTTAAAACTTGAGTGACTTTTTTTAGCATCTGTCAAAATCATCTGTTGTAGCCATTTCTTGTCATGTCAAATGTATTTTTCCAGCAAGTAATGCCCTCAATATTCGATTATTTTACCAATTCATCCATTATTAATGGAGCCCTGTTGTATTTGAGCTCCATTCAAGTATACCTAGTCGATCCGTTGCAAGTTTTCCGAGAAACTGATCAGCTGACAGTAGCTGGTGTCCTCAATTTTGACGATTTTCAACTGAACCTGCTAAAAGTGTTTTCTGGAGTTTTGATAGTCAATTTGTTGCTTCTTGTTACTGCCTGGAAATACTACGGAGCGGACATTTACGATAGATTTTTAAAACTATGTAAGAAACACTTCCCTTTGTTTATTGAATTCCCCATTAATAAACCACTCATTTTACATTTCAAGCCAATACCAAAGAAATTGAAGAACTAAAAGCCAGCGTCTCGAAGCTGAAGCTTCCCAAAGAACACACACCTAGAATCTGAATCATTCCAAATGGCCGAAAAAATTTCCGACAAAATCAAAAACTTTTTCCAAAAAAAGAAAGCAGACGCCAAATTTAAACGGTTGGGCCCAGGTCACAAACTAACCGAAACCTCCTCAACAACAGTGGTTGCCCCTCAAAAAAAGTCAACCTATGTGCCTCCTCAAAGAGCGACTCCTTCAAGTGTAAACAGGCAAGCCGCAGAAGCTGCCTTGGCCAGGATATCCGGTCAGAAAAAAGACACTGCCTTTAATACTTCGTTGGCAGCTATTCAGGCGCAAGTACGTCGAGAATTGGAAGCTGAAAAGAAAAATAATGCTGCTGCAACTGCTAGTGAGCCTGGACCTAAACTTACAGAGTTGGAGGCTTCACCTCATTTAGCAGTGACAGGTATTTGAACCTTTGTAACCTTGATTATTTGAAAAACAAGATTATTTTTAGGTGTTTATTTTAAATGTCCTCTGATAAGCGACGAGATATTATCCAAAGACGAATGGAAAGTCAAAATTAAAGAATTTCTTTTTGCAGCCTTGGAAGAGGAACGTGGCATAACTGCTTGTCTTATTTTGTATTCTTGCAACTATAATAGATCAAAAGTGTGTACTGACTTTATTTGAAATATTTATTGAAATTATGAATTTCAGGTTCAGGAGTGTGCAAATATTTTATGCCGGTACATAGACAACATCCTAGGTAATCCCACTGAAACGAAATTCCACAAAATCCGTTGCTCCAATCAAACATTTTCGGAAAAAGTTCTACCCTTGTTGGGGGCAATTGAATTTTTATCCGCCGCGGGCTTTAGACAGCAAAAATTGGAACACAATGGAGTTGAGGAAGATTTTTGGGTTTGGTCCGAGGAGAATGTTGAAGGAATCGAGACTTTGGAGGTAAAAAATAATGAAGTTTTGATAATGCAAACTATAATAGGAGTGTCAGTAATTTTTTAAATTGTTGACCATCACCACCTTCAATACTAAAAACGAAATTTACTTAGTTGTTATATTAAACAAGAAAACCATTGTCTGTATTTGGCATTTCATCTCAATCCTTTTTAGTACAAGATGGGAAGATTTAGTGATTTCTCAAATTTTTTCAGAATCTAGAACGCAATAATGCTAGTTATATGTAATAGTACATTAAAATACAAGTTTCATAAGACGTCATTTTATCGCATGAGCCCTACCTATATTAGAAAACGAGCCAGAGGCGAGTTTTCTAAAGGGCGAGTGCGATAAAATGTCTTATAAAACGAATATTTTATACTATTTTTCTATTTTGTTATTGTTTAATTAAAAAAAACAAATTTTTCTTTGAAATTTCATTTTCATATTTCCTGCTTTCATATCTTTAGGTTGGTAACCCTACATGTTAAATATAGAATTAAATCTTCCAAATCGTGAATGACAGTTCGATGCAGGGACATAGCAAGTCAAAACCGGCCCCTGGTACAAGACTAGAGCACAGCGGGCCCCCTTCACCATGAGCATCGGAAGGTTGAAATTTTCAAATTAAGTGACGGGGGGGGGGGGGGGGGGTTATGGGCAAAATGGCGCATGGCAAATTCGTAGGCGAGACATTTTTGGAGAGTTAACAGAAATCAGGCCTATGATGTATCCTCTCCTGTTATTTTAACAGCTATGTTATAGCTCAACATCTATACTTCTCTCTATTTTGACGTATAGAATAAACAGTGACAGACAACTTAACGTTGCTGTTAAAATAACAGAAAATGATATATCATAAGCCTGAATAGCTATTTTTGTAACAAGTACCTAAAATGAGGTTTTTCGGCAACCATTCTGAAAGTACTTACTTTCCAAACGTGTTTTACTTAAGAAAGTGTGCTTTTTTAAGCCTAGGCCGGGATGTGATTACTTAGGCCAAGAAGTGATTACCTTCCGGCCTAGTCTGGAAAGTATGTTCTAGTATATGTAATACTCCTAAAGTGTTTTTTCGAAGGTTTTTTGAGAGTTGCAGACTGGAATCTTGTCTACTCGTCCAAAAAACAGTACTTTCCAGACTCCTCACGCAATATACTAGTTTTGATGAGTCTTAAAAACGACTTGCACGCTCTGTTGCTACGTCCCTGGTTCGATGGCCATCAGTCGGCCAGTGTTACCAACTTCTAAGTTAAAAAGGAGTGTCACAAACAAAGAGCTTCTTTTCGAAACTACTTTTAGTGTCGAAAAGACTTCGATATGACACCAAAATAGAAAAACACTATTATGGGGTATGGGGTTGTTGTAATCTCGGTTGTAATTTATTATCGAGTTTATTATATTTGTGCAGAATTTCAAATGCCGAATATGATGTCAGTTTTTCCACCAATGAAAAATGAACAATTATTTTCAATGGCAGGAACCAGGAAGAACTCATGAACAAATCAATTTTACTCTCACTAGGTCAGTTCTCAGAAATCACAAACCAATCGGAGCGTTTTTGGTTGGTGCAAATCATCAACAACCTGTTTTCTGACTATTTTCAACCAAAGAAATTCGTTCCGACAGGTTTGTGATATCTGTGGGAACAGACTTACTCTCTACTTTGGTGAAGGCACGACTTTTCAAAGAGATAATAATAAATTTTCGTTTATTCCAGTAATGTTACAAGGTTCATCACAAACCACACACAGAGTTTTCATTTGTATTTTTTGCTTTGTGTCAGGCCTTCGAACCTTACAAGAATCTCTATTACAAAATCTTCATACTTTTAGCATAAAATATACAATTTTTTTTTTTGTAGTTTTTGAGAGATGCGCTGAAATCTGAAAATAGAGTTGAATTGGAGCTGGATAGAAACATGCAAATTCTTTCTCCGGCACAGGCTTCAGCTAAACTCGACTTGCCACAAGATTTTTATGCAATATCTCCGGAAGAAATTAAAAAAGAACAACAATATAGGTAGGTAATAATAAAACTACAAAATAAATTATAAATACAACAATTTTTTTTTTTAAATTTAGATCTGAAATGGCTGAAAAACAATTACAATTACGAACAAAGGCCATGAGAGAAAAAGAAGAATTGAGGGAAATTAGGAAATATAAATATTCCCTTATACGAATTAGATTTCCTGATGGTTTATATTTGCAAGTAAGTCTTATGCATGATATAATTCAAAAATACCTAATAAGAAAAAAATTTCAGGGTACTTTCTCAGTCTATGAAAAACTAGCAGAAGTCCTAGATTTTGTCCGAGACCACCTGGAACATGAAGGCCTACCGTTCATTCTCAGCTCCCCAACGGGGCTCAAACTAGAAGAAAAAGATTTCGACTCGACTCTAGCAGATCTCAGACTAGTTCCAGCCACTATCCTTATTTTCCAGTGGGATCCTGCTTTTGACGAAGAAATTAAAGCCTCTGGAAGCAACACGTTTCTTAAGCCCGAAGTTATGATGTTAATGCAACAACTTTGAATTTTTGTGATTTTATTTATTTATTTGGCTTTCAAGATGCTGTTTTAATTGATAATACCTACATATAAAATTTTATTGGATTTATTGTTGTATCTACCACTTTAATTATTGATTATTTATTATTAAACTATTGAATTTTAAGGGATTTTTTCTTTTTTGGGTGGGTGACGACAATAGGAAGCCAAACTATCGAGTGTGTGGGCATTGAAATAGTTACTAATCATCTAAACTAAAACTTATCATAATGAAATAAAACAAGAGTTGTGTATTCCAGTGTAAATTTAATAAAAAAGTACTTACTCGTCATAGAAATTGTGTACATATGATACCAGTGTTGAGATAATTTTATTTATTTATTATTTTATTATTTATTTATAATGGCACTATCAGAAATCCATGAGCTAAACATAAACGCAAGGAACAACGACTATAACAACACCAGATCAACCACCAACTGTCATAAGCAAAACAGCAAGACCAAAGGAGCTCAACCTTCTTCTAACAGGAAACTTGGAGAACGGACACTTTGAGCTCTTGCAACCAGCCGAAACGCCTAAGGAAACAACTACCTGTCGGTCCCAAACATCAAGAAGCGAACAACCAAAGCAAGGACAAGAAAAAAAACACCAAACAAATCCAGAAGCCAATTAAGCACTTTGATTTTTCTCCAAGAGAAAGAAAACAGAGACAATACAATAGCATGGAATAAACATCAAATTAGACGATAAATCCCAAAAAATTAGCCTTCAATACAAATTTCGTTCCGCCTTTGGCATAACATCCAGAAAGTATGTGCATTCTTTTAGGTTTCTGGAAGCCAATTTCCTTCTGCAATGTCAGACTTAAGTTATTTTTAAACCTCAGTTAAACCAAACTAGAAATAGGCGTAATAAGATCATAGCCGATTGGCAACATGATAATAAAAAAATTATGACATACTCTTGGCACGGGAAACAATTAGCAATAACTTTTTAATGGCTATTCCACAATATTTTAGTTAAATTTAGAAGAATTATTGACAAAAATGTTAGAAAAATTGAAATGTTATTTATTATTCTCAAGGGTAATTTTGCAACTTACCTTATAGCTGTTCTTTGATGATTCGATGATTGAATCAAGGGGGGGATTTCAGAAACCCAAAATAGTAATAATATTGCTTAATGGGTTTGTTTTCCAAACGCAGTTGTAGAAAAATATTATTTGATAAATTGGAACCCACACATTGACATTGATTAGATATTAGGTCACGGTTCAAATTTTGGAATTCTAATTAAGTGAAAATTTATTTTCAGATGACTGGAATCCTAAAAAATAATTAAACAAAAACAAACTATTTACATTTTATATTACGTAAACTTTATATAACTATAAAAAAAAACTCTATACAGCTAAACAGAATATTTTGTACAAAAAAAAAATTATAGAAAAGAAAAATGAAAAATAAAAAAAAATGAGAATCACATCGTTTCAAAAACACTTTGGTTTACCAATGGCGATCTGCAATATTTTGCCTGGATAAAGCAAAATATTGTAGTTCCAAGTAACTTTTTTTTAATTAAAAACAAACATGAGATCAAAATCTGTATACATAGTATACTATAAATAAATATATATTTTTTCTTATTTTTTTTTAAGCCCTTGATGCCCCAAAGTGTTTTTTCTAATATCTATATCGATTAAATACATTCTTAAAAATTAAGGGCCATTCAAATACATTAACATCAATGTAACAATAATAATCGTTATTAAAAATAAAAGCAACAAAATAAATATTAATTTTGAAATTTTTTTTCAAGAAAACAACTAGAAACTTGAGTGTAACTCGAAAGGCAAAGAGAAGTGGGTCTCAAATATCAAGTGCCAAGCTTAGAGATCAGATAAAGGATTCTGAAGCCAGATTTAAGACACCACAAGTCAATAATACAGTTCTTATCTGGTTATGTTTTTAATTAATCTACAGCCTCAGATTCATGAGGCATGTGAAAATAACAAAAGAATTCATTGTCATCTGCTTTATTTGTTGAAATCAACAGCTGCAATCCTCCTATTTTTTCCAATGTCCTTGTGTCTTTTTTGGTAAGGGTGTATTCTTCAAAATAAATTCTCTAGTCTTTCAATTTGGCACTCGAGTTTCCAGACTGATTACAAGCATTATCTTTTCTGTTGGGCGTTGTTTGTTATGCTTGGAATATGTATAGCGATTTTCATTTCCATTTTCACATTATCGTTGCATAAAAATTTTAGATTTTTTATACAATGACTGTGAGAACTGGCAGTAAAATTTTTAATTTTAAGGCTTTTTTTGACAATAAAGCATCATTAATATTATATGTATCGATCGTAAACTTTTCGTTTCAGAATTATTGATGTTTCATCTGATCCTGTATAGAATCAATTTTACCAAACATAATTTTAGTTTTAATCCAGTTCTCGTTCAACAAAAAAATGAAACAAATTTCCCAAAAGAAAAACTTGAGAGAAAAAAATTAGTGGAGTTAAAAATTGATTTCGGTATACCTACTTAAAATTAACTTTTGAATACCCATGTGGTGAAAGTTTTTGTCTGAAAATGTTTCAACTTATTTTGTTTCTAGTGTTTTCTTTAAGAAAAATTTCAAGTAGGTAGGTACTCATTTTGTTTAGTTGAGGAAAATATTTTTTTATAGAAACACGTTTTGATTAAATCTGTGAAAGAAAAATTGTAACTTTGTATTTGCGGGTGCAAAATATAGACAATCACCAGGTACTGCTTTTACACTATTTTACATAGACAAAAATAAATAAAAAATGTGAAACCCATGACTAGTTCCTATTTGTTTGAAAATGGTAGACATTAATACATAAAAATATAGATCAAAAACACAAAAAAATCCAATTATTTATTTACTAAGAAATATTTAGCAAGATTTTTGCCAACCCTGTTTTAAAAGTTGATTCTGAAACCATAATTAAAACACTGAAATTTCATAAAAATTTAGTTTGAAAGTTTAACGCCTAAATGCACCATAAGGACCGAGGGGTGGTTAACTGATCAAAATCCGTGTACAAGTTGGTCAAAATTCCAGAAAATCTCATAAGATCAACTCAAAATCCCTAAAAATCTTTGAAATCCTTAAAAATTTAACTAAATTCCACAAAATCTTTAAAAATTGCATAAAATCTTACAAAATTCAACAAAATTTCATTAAAACCAAAAAAATCCTGGAAAATCTCACATAATCATTAACATTCCTAAAAAAATATTTCCTTTGAAATTCCCAAAAATCCTTTGGAATCTCCGAAAACCTATTAAAGTTTCTCAGAATTCCATAATTAAGTGGCATTTCGAGGAATTTCGGTAGAATTAATTATGTTATTCTTAAAAAGGAATTACATGTGAAATTTTTGCGGAGTTTCCATGGAATTCACTTAAATTTTAGTTCCTTTCGAATTACATGAAATTTCAAAGTTGAATTACATGAAATCCTAAATGAATTACATGGAGAAATTTCCAACATGAAATTTCAGTTCTTACTGAATTTCCAGAAAATTCCACAAATGGAATGCTGAGGAATTTCCGGCTAAAAACATGGAATTTCGGTGATATTCCGAAAAATTTACATGGGAATGACATGACATAAAATTTCAATATATTTCGGTGAATTTTCAAGAAATTACTTGAAGTTTCATTAATATTCCCAGAAATTCCTGGCTATTAAAAGAGAATTTCAGTAAAATTCCCAAAAATTCTTATGAAAATAAATGAAATTTTGAAAAATTCCCTGAAACTTCATTGGACTTTTGAGAAATCTTTGGCTATGAACGTGGAATTTCAAAATATTCTCATAAAATTTTAGTGAATTCCGAAAAATTTTTTAGAAATTACATGAAATGTCAATGAAAATTTTGTGGAATTCCAGGATATTTCAGTAGTGAAATTTTAGGGAATATCAGTAAAGTTAAAAAAATAGTTATTTTTGTCACAAGTACCTAAAATGAAGTTTTTCAGGACGAATCATTGCTATTTCCGGACGAGGCGTTAGCCGAGTCCGGAATAGCAGATGAGTCCTGAAAAACTTCGTTAGGTACATGTGACAAACACTATTTTTTGTCATACGCTTATTAGAATTCTTCAGAACGCTTAAATTTGCAAAATTTCCTTAATTTTTGAAATCATAAAGAAACATCCAGGAAGAAAAAAAAATCCTAAAAAGAAGTATTTTACGGACTTGAATGAGTCCGTAAAATAGCTGTTTTTGGGAGCGTATGACAAAAAAAAATTATGGAATTTTGAAATTGAAATTTTAGTGGAATTCCAAGGAAATTCATGAAATCTTGTAAGTAATTCTGAAAAAATTTTGCCTAAGAATTCCATAAAATCTTCTGGTGAAATTCTAAGGAATTTCTATGGAATTGACTAAAATTTTCGCGAAATTCCCATGGAATAACTTGAAATTTTAATGGAATTCCGAAGAATTTCATTCATCTTATATTGTTATTCCAAAGAAAAAAAAGTTCCAAGAATACCATTGAATTTTATGGTGTAAAATGTGACATATGAAATTTTTGCGGAGTTTTCATAGAATTCACATTAAATTTTAGTTACTCTCGAACTACATGAAATTTCGAGTTACATGAAAATTAAGTAGAATTTCGATCGAATTACATGAAATCCTGAATAAGTTGCATGGAGGAATTCTAAACAATTACATTGAATTACACCGAAATTCCCAACATGAAATTCCAGTGCTCGTTAAATTACATAAAGAATTTTTAAAGTTTCAAAAAGTTACATGATTTCCGAGAAATTTTCGTCGAATTATATGGATCTCCAAAGCAATTGCATGGAATTCTAAGGAATTGTCAGGGAATTACATGAAATTTAAGTGCAATTTTGAACAACTCTTATTGTTTCATAAGGAATTCCAATGAAATTCCGAAAAATCCTAATGTAATTACATGAAGTTTTATTTTTATTCCAAGGAATTCCCAGTTAAAAACATGGCATTTTAGTGAAATTGAAATTTCGAAAAATTCCCATCGAATTACTGAATTTTAGTAAAATTAGAGAAAATGTAACAAGTAGAATTCCGAGGAATTTCCGGCTAAAAACTTGGAATTTGAATAATATGAAATTTCAATATATTTCAGAAGAATTTCGGTGAATTTTCAAGAAATTACTTGAAGTTTCATTAATATTCCCAGAAATTCCTGACTATTAAAAGAGAATTTCAGTGAAATTCCGAAAAATTCTTATGGAAATAAATGAAATTTTGAAGTTTCATTGGAATTTCGAGAAATTTTCAGCTAATAACGTGGAATTTCAGTGAAATTTCAAAAAATTCTCATAAAGTTTTAGAGAAATTCCGGGGAATTTCTAAGAAATTACAGGAAATGTCAGTAAAATACCGTAAAATTTTATGAAAATTTTGTGGAATTTCAGGATATTTCAGTGATGAAGTTTTGAGGAATTTTAGTAAAGCTTTAAAAAAATTATGGAATTTGGAATTTCTGAGGAATTTCTATAGAATTTTGGAGAACTTCAGTGGAATTTCGAAAAAAAAAAACAAAAAAATAATGAAATATTCGCACAATAATTTTCATCAAATTATATATTGCATTTTGTGTGGACTTACATAAAATTTCGATGAAATGTCGAGTAAAATTTCAAGGAATTCTAGTTGAATTACATACATATGGAATTCCTTGAAATCTTATTGTGGAATTCCAGTGAAATTACATGGAATCTGAAATATTCCTTTGGAAATAAACAGAATTTTCACGGAATTTCCATGGAACCACGAGAAATTTCGACGGAATTCCGAAGAATTGAATTAAATTTTAGTGAAATTCGAGTCAAATTACATAAAATTTTAGTGGAATTCCGAGAAAATTTAGAATCTCTAAAAACTTTTCAAAAACCTCTAAAATGCTCCAGAATCACCTAAAATTTTGATCTAATCTAAAATCTTCTGAACTCCTGTAAAATCGTGTAAAGATTTTCAAAATTCTCAAAATCCTACAAAATCAATTATAAGATTTAAAATATATGTTCATTATTTTATAGAGTAAACTAAATCTCGGAACAGTTGAGTCATCAAAATCTGTGTACAAGTCCAGAAAAACATAAGATATTTAAAATCACTGAAAATCTTCAAAAATTTAACAAAACCCCACAAAATTCCTTTAAAAATCACTTGAAATCGCATAAAATTTCACAAAATTTTATTAGAACAGAAAAAATCTGGCAAAATCTTAAAAAATCATTAATATGTATTCCTAAAAAAAAATTCCTTCAAAATTTCCAAAAATCCTTTGGAATCCTCAAAAATCCGTTAAGATTTCTAAAAATCCTTTAGGATCTCTAATGGCCGTTTCCAACAACTATTTTAGGGGAGCTTCAACAATAAGTATTCCTTCAAATAACAGTCTTCTATGGAGAAATATCAGTTTGAAAAATACTTATCGTTAAGGTTCCCCTAAGTTAGTTGGTAAAAACGCCATAAAACCCTTGTTAAATTCCTTGAAATGATCCAAAATCAACTAAAATCTCATAAATCTAAAATTATTTAAAATCCTATAAAATCACGTGAAGATTTTCAAAATCTTCAAAATCGTACAAAATCAATAAAGATTTAATTATGTACACATTTTATGGACTACTTTAACTAACTTTAAGCGGTTAATTGATGAAAATTTGTATTGTACAAGTTGGCCAAAATCCCAGAAAAACTCGTAAAATCTACTTAAAATCCTTGAAAATCTTTAAAAATCTGACCAAAATTTTATTAGAACCAAAAAAATCCTCTAACATTTCCAAAAATCCTTTGGGATTCCCAAAAATCCGTTAAAATCTCTAAAAATACTTTAGGATCTCTAAAAACCTTTCTAACTTACCTAAAATGCTCAACAATCTTTTAAAATCCTGTAAAATCATATGAAGATTTTCAAAATCCTCAAAATTCTACAAAATCAATGAAGATTTAAAATCTCAAAATCTGTGTATATATTTTAAGGACTTAACCACCCCTCGATAAGGACTTATTCCAGATTAGTTGCTGAAACCAGATTAGGCCTTTTTTATATGCAAATTTTTGAACTAACTGAGATTAAACTCAAACTCCTAAGCTCATACGGTGCATACAGGTGTAAAAGTTGTAAAAATTACATTTTGTAAACATTTTTGTAGATCATTTTGAAAACATTTGAAAGGCGTTTCATTGAGGTCAGCAAAAATAGGTTTTCATAAGGACTCTCCAAAGGATTTTTTTTAAAGCAGGTTTCTTTTTGATCCTCAAAATTAATTTTTCATAAAAAGTCATGGAATGGACGTTTTTGTAAGTAAATTTTGAAACAACATGCAGTTGAAACCTCAGTTAAAACATTCAAAATGTATTAGGGGATCTGAAATTGAGAAAAAAAAAAAAATCCCCTCCAAAAAAAAGAAAAACGAGAGAAATTAAGCAAAAGAAAAATTGAAAATAGGATAAAAATACCTCTCATTTTATTCTAATCAGTGACTTCACCAATGAGTTAGCTATCTTTGTTAAGTGAATGGAAAATGACAATGACCGACATAGAATGGTGGATCCATCGGTAAAATTTGATGAGAATAAAAACGCAGAGATAGCCAAAACTGTTCAATTTAGTACACATGTAATTATGTATTTTGTCACAATTAATTTTTTCAAATAAATTTTCTCCAAAGAAAATTGAATTGAAATTTTTCTAAAAAAATCAATGCTGAAGAAAATTCAAATTAAAATTTCATGAATTTAACAAAAATTCATAAGTACTTTTCTCTCTAGTTTTTTCTAAATGCAAAATCAAGATTAAACAGTGGATAAAATCATAAAGTCTCTATTGTCTATAATTAAATTCAAACAAACCATTACCAACTCTTGAATACCTATTGTTCCAATTTTTGAAATCTTCAAGGATCACATTTATAGGTACCACCTCATAAAAAGAACAATAATTAAAACAAATTCTGCAGAAAAATATTAAATACCTACCTACATAAAAGAGCAAGTTAATTAGTGCAAAAAAACTAATGTGCATGTTACAAATCCATTAAAAAACAAAGCATAATAATTACACTGCATCAACACCCTGTTCGTGTGGTGGTGACAAATGTCCATTAGTAAGCCCATGGTCAACTTCAGGCGTAACAGAACGACTGGAACCACTGCTGCTACTGGAACTAGAACTGCCAGAGTCGCTCGAATCAGTTTCGGAATCCTCCGAATCCATGTGTCCGTTTTGCTTCTGAGCAGCCAATTCGATTTTGTTTTTCAAAAAGTCAATTTCCTCCAGCAAAGAATGTTTTTCGTTGGTTTGTTTAACCAACTCGTTTTCCAGCTGACGAATTGTATCTTCGAGGTCTCGGTTTTTCTGCGAAGTTCTATTGTCCAAGGCCAAGTATTCATTGATGAGTTCTTGCTTGGACATGGTTTGCAGCTGTTCAGTTTGTATGCTCCGATATTGGTCATTGAAGTCTTGCATCAAAAACTCTCCTTCGTCGTCTGGCGATGAGTAAAATTCCTCACCATCTGAGTCAACACTCACACTAGAATCTCTAGTTCTCGTGAGCGAAGCTGTCGATAACTGATCAATGTTTCTCAGTTTTTCATCCAAACCCTCCAACCCTCCATGGTCGGCGAAAAGAAACTGATTGTCGTTGTGAGGAGCTTCAGGCTTCACAATACAAGGTTTAATAATTTTACCATTTTTCCTGCCGAATTTCTGATAAGGCGCTTTACGTTTGGATTTGCCGCGCCTTGTCTTTCGTTTTTTCGGCACGGGCGGCGCCACCGGCGTCTCCTTTTCCGCTATTTTCGTAGCTTCTGACGCGCACGCTCCGTTCTCTGGTGCAACGACGACATCTTGGGAGGTGGCGTCGGTCGAATTTCGAGGAGGATTTTCACCCGCACCGGAACCGTTTAAATCGCTCATTTTTGGTTTTTCGACAAACTTGACTCGTAAATAATCCGAAAAAGTACTCACTCTGGACTGTTGTCAGGCAGCACAAGAAAACGCAACAAAAACGCAAGAGCAAACGTACACGACTGAAACGATATCGCCATTTTGATTTGATTTTATTCGGGTGCGTTGGTTATTGTTGATCGTTTGAGGGCGCTGTTGGCGGAAAAAGAGGAAATGCAAGAGGGATTTCTATGGTCCTACCTATCGCTGCAACGTTGCCACACCAACCAATTTGTATGTAATAGTAACTATATTTCACACTTTTATTTTGAATTGAAGAAAATTTCGTTTAAACTAGAATCAGTTTTATTAATTTATGTTCATCCAATTTCAATGTTGATATGAAATCAAACAAAAAAGAGTACCTAAGCATCATTTGAATTGATTTATTTATTTGCTCCATATTGTTTTTGTTACTTTTGATTGTGTAGTTTGGAGTTTGGCAACGTTGTTAACCCTCCCGCCTTCTTTGTGCAAGATGCAGCAGCTTTTCTAATTATTCTAAATTCAGTTTTTTTTTTTTTTTTGGATCAACGCGTTGAATTGCTAAATTTAATTTGATGCCTTCAAATTTCGACTCTCTTGAGGATATTTTCACGAGCAAATTTGTGCAGGAAAATGCATTTTAGTGTCATTCTTCGGAAAATGCACTTATGCAAAAATGATTTTCACAATCACAATTATGATCAAAGATAGCACTATCGACACTAAACTTATCTAGTTTGTTTTAAGGAATTTTCATAGGCGATATAAGTTTTATAGCTAATTATTTATAGAACAAGCGTTCTCTTATTTGCTAATTCCAAGTCTTTTTTATTTTTATTCACTGATTATGCAATATTCATAATTACGTAATTATATATTCAGCCTTATTCACGTGTCCACTTGTTTATTGAAATTTTCCAATATTGGATATTGAGACATTTCAATATTGAAGAGATTTCTTATTCACGTGTACCCCTTGAAAACGGGATTGTTGGAAATTGGAAAACTGTTCTTTAATTGAATAAGTTAAGGCGGCAACACTGTAAAATTGCCAAAAACCTTAAAAATGTAACCCCACTTTTCTATTCATTTTGTTGTTTATGAGTTTATTTATTTATTTTAGTGCCTGATTTAGCTGACTTGGAGGAAAAACGCACGTCAAAAATACAATAAAAATGCAATGCACTTAAAAAAATAATCACAGACTTTGGGATGCAAGATGCAATGCGGACGTTCTGCATCTGGAAGAAATTGCCCAATTTCCTCAATTAGATTAGATAGAGATACCTTGCAGTATTTTTTCAAAACCTGCTGATGTTTTTAAAATTATTTTCTGGCAAATCCGAAGGGTTATTGCTTGTCTCCCAAAGGTTATTCTTTTTCTGATTGTGTTCAAGTCTAAAAAGTATAATACGATCATAGTTATCCAAGGCACTCTGCTTCTTGATTTTCTTAGACGATTTTTTGATAGCTCATACCACTCACCAGGAATAAAGAGCTTCCTCACCTTTAATTTTTCCCTTCTAATGCTGCAATAAGCAACGGAAAATCATCCATAATTGAAAATTAAATACCACTCACTTCTATAGTTACTGAATCAAGTTTTGAAAACGACTTTTTTCACACGGCTTAGACATTTTGTTGGACCGAGCCGTACTTAGGCGAATTCCACAAGTCGAGCGAGTGTGAAAAAAAGTTTTCAAACGAGTTTTTCACAATGTTTTTCCTACAAATGCAAAATAAAACAACCAAATATGTAATTTTTATTAACCATAATAAATAAAAAACTAATAAGCAGCGTGTGAAGAACTGTTTCTCACACTACTGTGCGAAAAACTCTATTTTCAGAGGTTGCCTAGCGTGTGAAAAACTCCATTTTCAAAGGCAGTTGTAGGAAAAATTCTAAACATAACACAAAACCCAATAGTTTTCCAATATCCAATTTGCCAAGCCGGTGCCCGAACCACCTGCTTACAAAATATGAAACACTGAAAACTGTTATTGGAAAATATAGTACACCTGAATAAGATATTCGATGTTAATTTCAATAACCAATATGACGTTCAATAACCAATATTCAATTCAACAACTAAGCAGCACCTGAATAACAATCCACCATATTTTTACAGTTTTCCAATAACCAAGGCAATAACCAATATCCAAGGACACACATGAATAGGGCTGATTAACTAGGTATTGCCTAAATTTGGTAAAAAAACAGTACCAAGCAAAACAATTAACGTTTATTAAAATGCAATTAGGGCTTGAATAGTTCCCCTTTCGGCTTTCAATATAATTTAATGGATTTTTTTTCAAAAAACTTTTCCAAATTTTTCCAAATGGATCCTCTTTAGAGAAGATTGGCAACGTTGCTTCCCATAACAATTATTTTCGATCTTCTTTTTTACAAGTTGCTAGAGTAGTCGATGCAAAAAAGCACGAACCCGCAACCCGCAAGTATTACGTATTTGGGTTTTGGAGCGATTACCGAGCATCGTGCTGCACTGATTCTGTTACGTTATAATTTCTGTGATTCCTTTTTCACTTTAATTAGTATAAATCACAATCATAGAAATTATATAAATTGAATTTCTTTGTCTGAATTTCTGGCTAAAATACACAGAAATCACAATTATTACCAGTCAGAGCGTTTTTGATTGGTGCAAATCGCCAACAACAGTTTCTGACTATTTTCAATCAAGGAAATTCGGTCAGGGGGACTTTATTTGAAATTGATGCAACTTTGCATACACGCAAATGACGTCATTCGAGATTGAAAATTGGTGCACGGCTTATTTGACATGCACTTTTTCAATCGCCACTGATGTCATTTGCGTGTACGCAAATTTTCGTCAATTTCAGATAAATTGCCCCCTGACTGGTTTGTGATTTCTGTGAAAACAGACCTATATGGCCGTTTGCACCGACCATTTTTAGGAAGCCTTAGCAGTTAAGTATTCCTTAAAGTGACATTTCTCCATGTAAAAATGTAATTTTAAGGAATACTTATCGCTAAGGCTTCTTTAAAATGATCGGTGCAAACGCCATATTGGATACGCTGACACTCTGTCGCAGATACGCCAAAAGTTGAAGAAAGTTCAACTTTTCGCGTAAAAATTCAGCGTTTTTAGAGGTTAAGGTTGCAACCGTTTCGTTTTCTTGATTTTTGTGATTTACTGTCCATATTTGTAACTATTTGGAACTAAAGCAAAAACAAATTCAAATTTGTACAATCAAAATTCAAAGAAATATTTCAAAATTAAGGAAAAAAAAAATAATTTTAACATACGCGGCGGCGTAAATTCTCCACTTCATGTGAATGATGCGCCAAAATTCACGTATTCAGCATTTGCGCCAGTTATGTCAAATTTACGCTCATGAGAAGCCGGCCTAACAGTCGCACTCGGACCCTAACTGGGTACCCGGAGAACATGGAAACAGGGGGGCTAGCGACTGACCCCAAGTTTTCTTGAGTTCGGAACAGGGGGGTTATAGCGACTAACCGGATATATGATTTGTTAAAAAAAATGTGGAAAAAGTATCTTATTCAAAAATAATTTTCCAAGTAGCTATATATTTATTCTGAATTCGTCTGAACCCTGAACGATTACCCATATCAATTTGACAAAACTCCTTGCCTAAGCATTTTAGAAAAACTTTTTTTCCTAGATTTTTGTAGATAATGGCCAACTTTAGTCAACTAAACTATGGGATTGCGAAGTTGTCACTGTCAACTCATCGATCGTTTCTAAGCATTCGTAATAGTAGGACTCGCCCTCGGACTCGCCTTGGGATTCCCCGAAGGATAATACACACTACGACACTACTAGGATTGGTTATCAGCCTCGTTTTTGGTAGTCGCGGCTATATTGGTGTAGCACCATTGCCGACGCCATTAACTAAGTCGTCAGCTGTTTGCGCCAACAGTCGTAGTTTAGAATTTAAATTTATGATGAAAAATATTATTTAATTTTGGTTAACATAATAGGCAAAGAAGAAGCTGCAAAAGAGATCTAAAAAAGAGTTTTTTCAGAATGTAATTAATGTATTAAAACCAAGTATACATACTCATATACCACATAACCTGTGGTGCAAACACCCTACGTCAAGGCGAGAAAACAACATGCTCCCTACGTCATCACTGGTGCTTTGGCATGGTAGGGGGCTCGAGATTTGAACTACACAGGCCTAATGAGGATAGACTATTCTGTAAGTGGTGTCGTAGTGTGTATTATCCTTGGGATTCCCCAACGTTTAATTTTCAAGCGGTAATTAGAGATGTCGCCCTAGTTCAATTTCTTAATTAGGGAGTTCCTAATCCTATAAAGTCTATTTTTTTTTTTTAAGATAATTCCCCAAAAGTCAAAAATTTAGTAACTATGTTGGTAACACAAGCCTTTTCTACACAAAAAATTTGAAAGCATTGACAATTTTACATTGTATTGCCAACATAATGTCATCTTTAAAAAAAAAACACACTTTACGCACTTTACCATATGCTGCGTGGCCGACTAAGCCGGAGTCTCATGCATCCGTTTTCCGACGAAAGATGTCCGAAAAACCTTCTATTCTGACATAATCGTATAAAAATATGTCAAAATGGAACGTTTTTCGGACATCTTTCGTCGGAAAACGGATGCAGGAGACTCCGGCTTTAATTCGATCGTATATGCAAATCACCCAATGTTTTTACTTGAGATGGTTGCTAGAGATCAGAAAAATTTCTCAATATTGTTTTGAAGTTGATATTATTATTACGGTTTTAATCCACAATATTTTTTTATGGAGCTAGCTCAAATTATAGGAAATTTTTCGCGAGGATAATCAAGCATAATCTGATTATGCTGGGTTATGTGATGTGTCAATTGTGTCATACTCCGGCTAACTCCCTCCACACCCAATTCTGGGACTGCGACTGACGTCACTAGCAGAAGCTTATAGTGAGGACGTCACCCGCAGACCTCGATGGAATACTTGCGATTCAG